AACATGAAGAGGTTAATATATAGGACTATCAAAATAAGAGTGGGTGGAAGAGTATTGGGTTTATTATTTGTTCAGTCAGCATTGTGCTTGTGGAACCCAAAGTAGAACACAGTGCGTCTTTGTCCCCTTCTAGCGGCTAATTCACATATGGGGATAAAAACTTATTATAGCTTTCAGCTAACGGAGTTACTCTTTTGGTTCAAGCAGCTCATGCCCTTAGCGCTGAAGGTCCTAAATTCAAACTCTGCTGACAACCAAAGTCCTGGGCCTGTCCCAAGGAGCTTTCAACTGAAGTTAGACACAGACAAAGCAGTTCAGACCCAAGTGATGGTGCCCACTCTAAGCAGGTCATGACAGTGAGACCAGAGAGATGAGAATTATGGGGGGAGGGATAGCTCAGTGGTTTGAGCATTGGCCTGCTAAACCCAGGGTTGTGAGCGCAATCCTTGAGGGAGCCACTTAGGGTACTTGGTCCTGCTAGTGAAGGCAGGGGGCTGGACTCAATGACCTTTCAAGGTCCCTTCCAGTTCTAGGAGATGGGATATCTCTATTTTTTTATTTATCAAAGACAAATTCAATAATTGAAACTAAAATGATACTGTTGCACTGTAATCTCCCCCAGCCCCAGTGGTGGCACCTGTCTCTCACTGGAACTGAGGATTCTGGCCTGGATTTTCAAAGATGAATAGGTATATAAACACAGAAATATCTTAGTCCTGTACCAGGGCCAGTCCCCTCCTGAGCACCCCCTCATGGGGGGAGATCACTCTGCAGCACTCTTGCCCCTGTTTCCTTCTCTTCAGGGCCCCTTAAGAACTGCACAGTCCTCAGTATTTCAAACAAAATTACCCCTTTTGGGTGGGGACTAGTTTATTTAGTCTTGCACATAGTCCCCAGTGGCCCAATAGGCCACCCACCCCCCCTTGACTAAGGGAACCCCATAGCCCTCCTTCTGGGACTTGGGCTATTCTTCTCCCTAGTCCCTTTCATTCACCCTTCGCCAGTTCCACTCAGGTTGGCCACAAAGTCTGTCATGTACAAAACTCAGTGCAGTCTCTCCCTAGTACCACAAAACAAACACAAAGTACTTAACTCGTTTTTAAACTGGGCTGAGCCAGGCCTTGCTCTTCTTTCCTGCCTGTCGTCCCTCCTCTGTTTCAACGACCACTCTCAGGTTTTACTTGGCTGGAGCTCAGCCTTCCAATCTGGCTCCCAAATACCCCAAGTATTCCCTACAAAAACCCTTCTCACTCTCTGCAGCTTCCTGGTTGCTTTTTACAAGGAAGAATATGATCCAATCCAGGTGTATCTCTAGAAATCAGGGTTGACTAGCCACAGGCGCTCCAGTCTGTGTTACAGCCACAAACAAGAAGTCAGGAAAATTATCAGCACATTTGTCATAGCAATACCTGTTTATAAAATAAAATAAATGCATTGCAGCATTGCAATGTCCATGAGAAGTGCAGGAACCTTATGTGCATATAACAAAGAACAAGAGTGATACAAGACTGCATAAAAGCATTTCAAAGATGCACACAACATTCACAAACCCTTTTGAAACCCCAGTAAGGCATACACAGAGGCAGGTGTGCACACATGTACTCTGTGTTCAACTTCTGCCCACACACATACACCAGTGTCTGTTGGTATACGTGTCTGATCAGATATTCAGAACCGATACCCATATAAAATGACCTTTGAAAAAGCCTATAAAAATATAGAGACAAGGGGGTGATATTAGACCAACTTCTGTTGGTGAAAGAGACAAGCTTTCAAACTGTTTTAAAGATGTGAGTGTCATGCACTTTCCCCGACCAGCCCACATTGGTGTCAGTGAAGTGTCCCTAGTGATCTACAATGCTTGTGGCCTTTTCTGTTGATTACTCTGGCGCCAAAACAGGGATATGCATGCCATCTATCACTCCACTACAGTTCAGGAACCAGGCTGTTACAAATCCAAAGCTGCTTGTTATACCAATAGATTAAAAACCAGCAGGATCTTATTAAGAGGGATAAGGCAAAGATGCCAAATTTATTGTAAATATAATGGTAAAGCAAAAGATAAAAGTAAACAACTTTGTTTGACTACTTATTCCTATCACTACTCATTCCTCATACACACACACACACACACACACACACACACACACACACACACACACACACACATACATATATATATA